GTTAGAGCAATTGACTCAGGATCCTCAGGTTCTGGGTTGGACTGCCCAACCAGACCCATTGATGTTGTCCCCTCAGGGGAAAATGAGTTTGTTTTTTTCTTGTTTAAAATCAAAGGTCAATGTATGGTTGCTCAGCAATCATCGTATAGTAGAAAGAGGGCCTAACTGTGCAAAACCAAGACTGTGTGTATTACCTGGCTTTAATGTAATACAAACAAACAAACTAACTCTCTTATGCTATGTTCTTTCCCTGACTATTGCACAGTGTCCAAGAAGCACGGTAAGCTGATCACATTCCTGCGGTCCTTCCTGGCGACACGACCGTCCCGCCGGCTGCTGCAGCAGACAGGGATCCTGCGGGAGCGAGTGTTCGGCTGTGACCTGGGGGAGTACCTGCTGCGCTGTGGTGTGGATGGTGGGGACATGTTACGTTCATATAGAATACAATATGGTGTAATCCATATATATCACCCAAGGTACCAGCCTGACCGCAGGTCGAATCGCACGACAGCTGAAATTTATGTCATATCCACCCAAGAAAACATGCCTTTCAATGCAAAATGAGCCAAAATTTGGTGTCCCTAAATGAAAAATGCAACATCAAGTTCAACGTCCAAATCTGGTTTTCAAATTTTTTAATGCAGCACATACAGTTCAGGTAAAACCTGTTCGAATTATTCTGTGGAGCATTTGGAAGCCCTTGTTATAATCAAATAGAACCCCAGTCTGTACCGCTAGTTATCACATGAGCCGGAATCAGACGTATTGCGGCCCAGGTATGACACATAGTGTTTTACTCATCACTCTGCTATAAACTATTACGCGGTGTATGACTATGACAGTATTATATAAGGTCTAGGGAAAAGGTTGTGTTGCCAATTCTCAGTCCAGGAAAAAGTAGGGTAGGTATGATGTTTTGAAGCTGTAATATTATTGTTCCCTCAGTCCCACCGGTGCTGGCCTGCTGTGCAGAGTTTATAGAGAAGTACGGCATCATCGACGGCGTGTACCGACTGTCGGGCGTGGCGTCCAACATCCACAAGCTGCGTGCAGAGTTTGACATGGAGTCTGAGCCGGACCTGGCTAAGGACTGCTACAGGCAGGACATCCACTGTGTCGGCTCCCTGCTCAAAATGTACTTCCGCGAGCTGCCCAACCCACTGCTCACCTACCAGCTCTACAACAAGTTTGCTGTGAGTCACAGACACACACTCGTAAATCTCTTCTGCAACTTAGGCCACACCGACTTGATTATATGAATGACCTCCTGACATAAACTTTTACCCATTTCCAATTAAAAAAGATGTTTGTGACCATACTGCCTCTTTAGATACTTGAGGGGTGAGAAAGGACAAAAGAGAAAGAAGATGCCAGAGGAAGGGAAGCAGGGCTTGAATGACCACTTGTTTGCACTAGCAAGTCTTCAAAAGTCAAGATCTGACAGAAGTTATTGTTTGGTAGAAGAAGAAGTATACCATGCTCATTTGTTCAGTCTTCCTGACCATAACAAAAACAATTTTTTTGCATAACTTTGCACGCTTCAGATTTGGGCTGGCCAGAAAATGTCATCCATATGATCAAATCAGTATGGCATCATGAAGGCAGTTCAATGGACCCACGGCTAAACTGTCAGTTTAGTGATTGTGCCATACTATAGGTCCTCCTGTGCCTACAGGTACATTGGGCAGCAAGGTTCCATCTTGAACGGATGGCAGCTGCTTCCTCAGTCTCTACTTAAATTCTCTTTGAAGGATCTGTGACAGGTGTTCTTTGGCCTGATATTGACTTACAGTGCATATTATTACTACCACTTTAGATATACACACAGTATATTCTTGAATGACTGCATGAGTAAGACTGATTACAGGCAGTGTGGTTAACTGTGTATACATCAGTGTTACTTGACCCCTGTTGAACCTCTACAGGAAGCCATAGACAACAAGGAGAACAGGTTTCAGCTGATCTATGATGTCATCCAAAAGCTGCCCCCACCGCACTATAGGTGAACCTTAGCTGCTCACTTGGCCTCTCTCCTCGCAGCTTGTGGTGCATGTCTGATCCTTTCTCTCCTTCCTTCCTTCTGTGCTGGACTAATCTGTAGGAGGCTGTTGAAGACAGGGAGAACAAGCTGGTGAAGATATATGATGTGATACAGCAGCTCCCCCCACCCCACTACAGGTAACATACACACCTGGGCAGGATTCTGTCATGACTGGGACAGGATGATCATACTCGAATCATGCAGGAATACAACAAATTATAGGATGTGTCAGATATGGTGGCATTCTTTTGTCTGTGTTTGCTTGTGTGCAGTAACAACACATGAATTGGGAAAATTCCCTAACCACAGACCACCAAAGGTCAGACACAGGAAGTTAGGCCCCAGAAGCTGGCTGGGAGCCAGCAGGAAGTTGACTATGGAGTCTGTTAACAGAAAGCCAGTGATATAAACACTATACAATCATGTAGTTGATAAAACAAGAAATTCACAAAAGAATTTCTAGAAAAGTAATTTGTTAGCAAAATTATTACTTCATTTGTGTGCAGAGGGTTAATAAGAACATGAATTGTAAATTTGAATTCTACATGTATTTTATGTATTATACACATCACCTGTCTTGATATGTACCAGTAAGAGATAACGATTCATGAATGAGCACATTGGATCTCAATACTAGTATCTACATAGCACATGTTCCATGGCAACTATCATGTACTAGCATTGATGAAATCACCTAACTAATAGCTCTTCTAACTGTTGCTAATCCTTTTGCATCTGGACAAATATCTGTGCTTCTTTCATGTGCATGTTTACGTACTTTAAGTTACCAAATGAATACTTTGTGTTTAATTTCACCAGATTATGTCAGACTCTACTGTCCCTTTCATCTGAGCTGTATTTACATTGTATATTTTACATTTATATTTCACTTCCTATACAATTAAGGAGGGAAATATATTGTTTTGGGTGACAGTTCTTCATGTTCTTACCTTGCCTCCCCTGGAATCCCTTGCCTTATAGATGTACATTGGTACGTTGTCTCACCTGGATGTTCTTACCTTGCCTCACCTGAATGTTCTTACCTGGATGTTCTTACCTTGTCTCACCTGAATGTTCTTACTTTGTCTCACCTGAATGTTCTTACCTTGTCTCACCTGAATGTTCTTACCTTGTCTCACCTGAATGTTCTTACCTTGTCTCACCTGGATGTCCTTACCTTGTCTCACCTGAATGTTCTTACCTTGTCTCACCTGGATGTTCTTACCTTGTCTCACCTGGATGTTCTTACCTTGTCTCACCTGGATGTTCTTACCTTGTCTCACCTGAATGTTCTTACCTTGTCTCACCTGAATGTCCTTACCTTGTCTCACCTGAATGTTCTTACCTTGTCTCACCTGAATGTTCTTACCTTGTCTTACCTGGACATTCTTACCTTGTCTCACCTGAATGTTCTTACCTTGTCTCACCTGAATGTTCTTACCTTGTCTCACCTGAACGTTCTTACCTCGTCTCACCTGAATGCACTTACCTTGTCTCACTTGTATGTTGTTACCTTGTCTCACCTGAATGTTCTTACCTTGTCTCACCTGAATGCACTTGTCTCACTTGTATGTTGTTACCTTGTCTCACCTGAATGCACTTGTCTCACTTGTATGTTGTTACCTTGTCTCACATGGATGAACTTGCCTACCTTTCCTGACCTTGATGTAATACACCAGTCTCTACCTGCCCCTTTCTCCCTCCCCAGGACCCTGAAGTACCTGATGGAACACTTGTCCCATGTGGCGACCTTCAGTGACAGGACAGGCATGCATTCCAAGAACCTGGCTATTGTCTGGGCCCCCAACCTTCTCAGGTAGGTGCTGTACCTTCTCTTGGGTTTATGTGATAAAAGACTGGTTATTCTACAGTGACCAGTACATGTTTATAGTAGAGGGGAGTCATTCCTCCAGCTCACCAACATCTTGCACAAACAGTCGTCCCTCAGTAAGACATCTGGAGCTGCATAGTTCCCGTTTGGAACTCTTATTTAGCCAGTCACGTGACGCCTGTGGCTTCTCCAAGTGTACAGAGGCTAAATGAAAAAAATTCACAAAGTTCTGACTTTTATACCTTCCCAGTACATAGGAAGGAAGCAGGAAGTGCATTCTACAAGGAAGGAAGAGCAGTTACTGTCTGTGTAAGGTCAATGACAGGCTTGTAGAGGCCTGACAAGTGCAAGGGCAAGACTAGTGTCCCAACAGAAATACCAATTGTCCCTCCTACATGGTTGTACCCCTGCAGGTCGAAGGAGATAGAGTCCGGAGCGGCTGCGCTGATGGAGATCCGTGTCCAGTCGGTGGTGATCGAGTTCCTGATTCACCACGTGGACCTGCTCTTCAGCAACAAGCTGGCAGGGACTCTGCTGGGAGCGCCGTCAGAAGGTCCGTATAATCTTTCTTCTTTTTGGAATTACCTAACCACAGATCACAAAAGGTCAGACACAGGAAGTTAGGAAGTCAGGTACCAGAATCTGCTGGCCAAGAGGAAATTGGCCCTGGGGTTGGCAGGATGACAGTGAGAAAATGTATTAAGAGAAAGTCAAAATGAATAAAGCTATTCACAAAAACTCACATCTTGTTTTCTTTTGCTTGTATGAAAAGATGTCTCTAATATCCATTACTTGTTCCTTGTTGCAGATGCCCTGAAACAAGCCCGCCGCCCCAAGTCTCTGGTGCTGTCCACGCCCACCAAGCTGCTGTCCCTGGAGGAGGCGCAGGCCCGTACCACCACAGGCTCCCTCCCCTCACAGGGATTCATAGAGGTGGGAGGGGGGCCTGCCAACCTCCCGCAGTACCATGCCATTATTGACCTCCCAGAAGGGTAGGTGTTCCTGTGGTACTTGCACACACATTCTCTTCCACCCCCCACAGACACATACACATCCCACAGACACATACACATCCCACAGACACATACACATCCCATAGACATATACACATCCCACAGACATATACACATCCCCCCCACAGACATATACACATGCACACACATCCCACTCCCCCACAGACACAGACACATCCCACCTCCACAGACACATGCACACACATCACACTCCCCACAAACATATACACATCCCACCCCCATAGACACATGCACACATCACACTCCCCACAGACACACATGCACACATTCTTTTTGCATGACCACACCATCACTTATTCTCTATCTGTAATTAGTTCCTCTCTTCCTGTCTACTCTATCTCTCTCAACTCTACTCTTTCTTCAAATTTCTGCATTTACATTTCATAGATGCCAGTGTATTTAGTTGAGATGTGACGTGTATCTTGATACCCATCTTCTCTCCCCTCCTTCTCTGTGGTTCTCCGTGCCGTTGTGTAGTTTTCTCTCAAGATCTCGCCACTTGCCAGCCTACTCTCGTAGGTGGTCCCTGTCTCTCCCAACAAAGTACAACACCATTCTGGGGCTATGGGGTAGAAACAAAGAGTAAGCCTTGTGTGTCTTCTTAGCTTGCACGTCTGGACCTTAATGTGCACTCTGGAATTTGGAAGGCAATTGTCTTTCAAGTGCAAAATCATGGACTGCTTGCGTAGATAAGGTTACCAATTTGACATTTGCTCCATTGTAGGATAATGTGTAGCAGCTGATGCATGTACATGTATGAGGTCTTGCTAATAGTGGTTAATATGTTCTACAAAGCTTGTATACATGTGACTGCACAATCTGCCACTGCCAGCCTGCCCATGTTACCTTGTTTATGACATACCTGGTAGACTTTATTAGCAATATTGGAGTTCTTACACACAATCAAGGTCTACTTACCCCCCCCCCCAATGTATAGGTAGTCAAACCTTGTACCTTCCTTCAAGTTGATAATGACTGATGCTACAGTACTCCTTGTCACAATAATATGTAGGTTGGGCTGTGACTGAGTTTGTATCCCTTGGTTGTGCAAAAGAACTGTCACCCTATGATTTATAGTGCCATCACATTTTCATGGTGTAGAATTTTCAAGCAGACTATGACAGCACCAACCTCTAACAAAGACAGCCTTATGACACATGCACGACTATCTGCAGAATGCTCTGTTTGCAGTTGTACTACAATCGTGTAAAAATGCAACCTTGATATATACTTTTCTTCTGTCCAGACGCAGGAGGACAAACTCAGACAAGTACAACAAGAGTAAGAAATCCCCCCGTGGCTGGAGGTCCATCTTTGCCAAGGAGAACAAGGAGAAAGCTGTGACTGACGGTACGAGAAGGAAGGTGGAGATAGAGAGGCTGGATGCGCCCGAGCAGCGAGAGTCCAGACTGTTCCCGGCGCAGACAGACCGGGCCGGACTGTCGCCCTGCCGCAGCGAGGAGTCCATCCCCTTTGCTCTGGGCAGTATGCCACGGGAGGAGGCACCTGAACCGAAGAGTAAGTTAGCTTGTCAGATAGCCAGCACCAGTAACTGTACTTGAATTAGCCCTTGATTTCAATCACTATTTGAATCAGTATGTATTTGAATTAGTCTATTGTTACAACCACTGTCCTTGTGACTTGTATGTTACCTACCTTGTATGTTTCCCTTATATTTTGAGTCACAGAGAGATTGCATTGCCTTCCTGTCCAGGTCTGCAGCCAGTGCGTAAACCTGTCCTCCCCGTGTCCACCAGCTCCTCCAGTAACGGCATGCCCCCCTCCCCAGACTACCTGAAGAAGGCCACCTCCCACGACTCCTTCTTTGACCTCCCGCCGGCCACGCTGGCCACCAGCTCCAGTCCGGAGGAGGAGGAGTGTGACAGGAACCCTGATGTGAGACCTGCTGAACACACCCAGACTCCAGAACACCAGACAGGAGAAGCAGGAGCCACACTCTACCCACCTCCCTGGAGATGGACTATTCCAAGGACCCAGCGTTGTCCCCTCAGAGTCCTCCCTTCATCGACATCAGCCCGGACTGTTTCCTGCCGTCCGAGGCGCAGCATGGCAGTCCGTACTCTGGATACAGGCTAGTGGAAGGTGGTCGTCCAACCGAGCAAGAAGACGTCAAGGCGGTGAAACTCAGGCACCCTTCCGCACCCATCTCGATAGCTTTAAGGCCCAAAGACAGAGACTCTCAGTCCTTGACAAACTACCCCGTGTCAAGGTCGCTTTCTCCCGTCCGAGAAGCCAAGCCTACAAGCGTCACACCACCTGGTACAGAGTTTGTCCCTCCGAAAATGCTGAGAAGTGTAAGCGACTGCCCCGCCCAGCTGCTTAGCAGCCCAAGAAGGCAGTCCTTCCGAAAATCCTTCACAGAGGGGCTCCCTGAAAACTATAAGACAAGGGAACAAGAGGTGGAGTCTGACACGTATGCTCCGTATCCTGGAAGTGTTGCTCCTTCAAGAGCAGTTCCGCCACAGGGTTCTAATGTATCCAATTCTATGACCAGACAGAAAGACCAGGATTTTCGGAAAATTCCTCTATCAGCGTTAAACACAAATTCCAATGCCTCCTCTTCCATGAGACACTCCTACACCTCTACCCACAGACCAGAGACTGAGCACAGCAACATTGTGTACGTGGAGGGGCGCTTTTACCAGGTCCACGGACGTAGCGTCAGCATGCCTGTACCAATGTGTCAAACTACATTAACCACATTTGCTCGTCAGGAAGGCGAGAGGCTCCCCCAAACTACATCCCACCGCCCGTCCCACACAGACACTACTCCGCAAGCCCCACCCCCTCTCTATCACACCAGGTCCCACCCATATCCACCCGACACGGCTGGTGACTACGATAACCTGGTGTGTGAGAGACAGGAGTCGTCAGACCCAAGGACTTCTGGACAGAGTGACAGACATGCCGTCCTGTCCACCTACGATAACCTGGATGGGTTCCCGTGGACGTCAGTCACAGTGCCTGACAGTGGTGTCTATGGTCAGCACGCGACTGCACGCAGTGACGTCCCCCAAACTGTAACGGACAGCGATGCCAGCACCCCCCAGACACTCACCCCTACAAACTGATCACAACACAGCCTCATATGGCAACATTTTCAGTTTTGTTGAACTGGTTGCCACTTTGTTACTAACAAAGGAAACACATAGCAATTCTTGTACTGTGTGCGTGAATGTTCAATGGATGACAACCAATGCCTTTGAGCAAATGTAGGAGGCAACTGTGTTTTTCATCACGCAAAAGAGATTTCTTTTTTTACAGACCAGAATGGTTCAACTTTATTTGTTATGGCAGTCTTCTGAGTGACAGGATGTTATTATTATTATGCATTCTTTATTTTGACTGTCAGTTTGCAAAGCAATTATTAAGCCAGTAGCGTCTAAGGTCAGGCTTTGGAGCTCATTTAAAAACCAGCCTTTCTGTAGAAATAAGGAAAGGCAGACCAACCATACCTAGCTGATGTGTAGCAAAGTATGATGTCACCTACAACATTTATTATCCATTCCACAAGTGAAGCTGTAAATAGTAAGAGCCTGAGATGATGAGAAAGCTCTTCACCATTTGTGGAGAAGAAAAATTCTGTGGAAACATCTACAAAGAACTGGAAACTAACTACTTGCATGTGAAGAAGATTTATCTTTCTTTGTGTCATGAGAATTCACAAAAAGTTGATGATATAAAGTTTTCTCAGTAGTATGTAAATGTAGTAAAACACTTTGGTCATTGGTGGCCAGTCTTTGTTCATGACATGAGAAAATTTTGATACTGAATCTTACAAAAATGTTTGAATTTGCCCTACTATACAACAATTGTACATAAGGTTGGAGAGTAAATATTATGTACATGTATGAATCTTTGTTGCAGCGATGTGGAATGCTTGTAAGCAACAGAAAGTGAGAAACTTGCTGTTATGTGCGTGTATCTGTAGGATTTAGCCTGGGTTTATCCTTTGTAGTTACTGCTGGCTGTACCTTTTTGCTTGCTACCATGGGGACTGGACTTGTTAATAGAGATAACAGGTCAACTTTACATGTTTGTTCAGATTTTGAAGGAGCTCAGTGATTGGTCCCATTCATCTACACCCTCTTGCTGGAGGGCTTATGTCTGATACAGAAATGAACACTGGGGCGCGTTCAATTGACAAAGCTTGATCATCTGTTGTTGCTGAACTGGATGGAATTTTGGAGCTAACATGGGAACAGAAAAATGCTCTAAAAGCCATTGGTAGCAAAAAGGGAGAGCCAGTGGAAACTATGGAGGATACATATACCCACACTATGTAGGTCTCCCTGGACCTGGGCAATATGGCCTGCTAATATGTGATAGTTTCTGTACTCTTTAGAAAAATCAAAGTGTTGTAATTTTATGACTTTGTTTCATGTTAGTGTAACCTTTTTATTTGGCTTATTTCAACCAAGCCTAAAAGTTTATGGGTTTGTACATGTAGAGGGCCTTGTACCAATCTAATAGCAAGGAACACATCTTACAAGATCTCATACCAGTCCAGTACAATGGAATACATGTACGTTCAGGGTTTCATACCAGTCTAATAGCAATTTGACTACATGTACCTTATATCGTGAACACCTTGCTGGTGCAAGCCTCAAGACCCAACCACTTTGGTAAGTCCCTAGACATAAATTAGGTCAGAATAGAGGACTAAAGTAGAATTTCAAATTACCGGTAACGTTAAGACTTCTAAGTAAGCCATGTTAATGTAGTAGCTGTTGTTTCCACACATTGCCATCACACATGCATACCTATTTGATGCATCTTGTTTATTGAATTTCGGTTTCCCCAATCATCTGGAGGTTGATGATGCTCTTAAAACAAGATTTTGATTTTCTTGTGTGTGGCATTAGGTGGATAACCATCTAACACAATATTGTTGAGATCAGAAACTGGGAATCAGTATTACCTTTCCATGAGAAGAAAAAGAGGAAGCAATGAAATTTTGTACCTCACATCCTAAGTCAGACTGTGCCAACAAAACATGCTAGAGAATTCTTCATCGTCTTAAGGTTTCTATAAGGAACAAAAGATTGTAAGTATATGTAGAATCTTTTTGTGTGCAGAAATTACATACCATGCCCTGAACTACAATGTTATTTGTGATGGCTCGGAGTCATGATTGTGTCACATGTGTATGATATATATATTAAAGTACCTTTTGTAGTTGCTGAAAAGAATTATGGTAGGGAGAAAGAAAAGGTAAAGAGGATCTTTCAGCAAAATGATTGACAGGATGAAATGGGTTACTGATGAATGACTTGAACTTGCTTTTGGATACAAAAGTACAACGTTTTGGGTGGCTGAGCTGTGGGTTTGTCCAGACAGAGTACATGTAGGTTGATACCACATAGGTGGGGAAAATTGACAGGCAGAAAGTGAAAAGGAAACGCAATGAACTTGAAAGTCATGGAATTCCAACATACTTCCCTGAAGTCTCCGATAAGCGTGATTTAATCCAAAACTGTGATTGCTTCCTCCTTAGGCTTAGGCTTAGGCTCAGTAAGCTCATGAGAAGCAAGTCTAGCCGTTAAGCAGATCTCGAGTTTTATATCATGTACAATGGTTGATGCTAACAATCGCACAAACGTTTGCTAGCAGGTGGGTCTAACGTCAACCGTCGATGCCTCGTAATTGTGAACTACCAATTGTGGTCAACAGAGTAACGAGAATGTTCCATGCAGAAACAGTAAAATACAAACTGTAATCTCCATGTTAGCTGATAGGTGGCGCTATGGGATAGTGTTTGCAGTCAATAGTTCACCCAAGAGCAGCAGGTATGGCGGACAACGTTCTCGTCAGTAGCCAACGGCACTACATCCAGGGAAGGTACAACGACGCCATCAAACTCTTGTCCCAGGCCCTGAAGGACAAGGGGCGTTCATTGGAGCCCAAGGACACCGCGGCGATCCACTGTAATCTTGCTTCTTGCTATTTAAAGCTAGGACTTCTGCGGAAAGTTGTGTCAAGTTCTGACGCCGCCATCAAAGTGGACGCCTCTTCCCTCCAGGCGTACCTGTACAAAGGTGGGCGTGATTTGGACTATAACTTTTGATACTCTGGTTTTAATACAATTAGGCTTATAGCTGATGCTTTGACTTCGTGAGGAATACTATTAAACGTCAATACATCGTTTTAATGGCATGTTTATTCCGTACTATACAACCCGGAAGTTAAAACATAAATGTTACACACATATTGCACACACACACATTCCTCCCACCCTACATGTAGGTTCCCTTGTTGGTCACTGGTCTGTTCCATGAAAAGCGAAGGGGTGCGATTCCACTTAATTAGATTAATAACATGGAAATGTATGCTTTCATTGATTGGTTGGCGGCATCATTGGTACGCATACATGTAATATGTAAACTAATGGTAGGTAACGTTACATGCAAATTATTAATAGGGCAAATCACCCAACAACCACCTGTTTTTTCCTACCACCTCCTGTAGGCCAATCACTCTAAATTGGAGGTAATGATATCAAAAGTCTTGAATTCTGTCTTCCACCAGGTAAGGCACTGTACAGACTGAAGAAGCCTGACCAGGCGCGGGAGGTGTGGGAGTCAGCCCTCTCCAGGTACGGGGACTTCCAGGTGCTGACTGAGATCCTGGACTGCATCCAGGGTTTGGAGGACGAAAAGTCTGGCAATACACAAGCCCAACAGTCTACCAATATAGAGGTAATCACTTTTAGATCTTCCTAGTGCTGCTCCCGTATTTGTCTACAGTCAAACTTGCCCGACCAACCACTATAAGCCTGCCATCTGGTCATAACGACCGTTTTTCTCGGCCTGGAGTCTGTTAGCTGGGTGCCAGTGGAAATTTAAATGCATAGTATTACCCAGATCCCGGGATTCTTGCACTGAATATTGAAACAGGACGATATTCTGCTACTCTTGAAGGGGACAGAATTTGCTCATCGTGTGATTTAGTTGAAATAGAGAATGAGCTTCACTTCATATTTTATTGCCCTTTTTATGACAATCTTTGGCAAACACTATTTGAGAAATGCATACAGACATAAACAGAGAAACTCGCACAAAAATATAACAAATTCAACAAAATATGTATTAAGAAAATCACGTATTATATAAATATTTCACAGATATGAAATCCAGGTCAGTCTGTCTATACTCTTTTGCTGAAGATTTGTTGAGCTTGGTGTTGAAGCTGACAAGGTCACATGTCCATGATGAGTTCTGTGTCCTCAGGTGAATGGTGATGCAGACAGTGAGAGGTCAACGACCCCCCAACCCATGCAGGAAGGGACAACAGAGAGTCAACAGGACAACAAGAAAACAACAGGTGGCTTTCTGGATCCCAAGAGCACAGAGTTCCAGGTGGCACGGGGGTTTCTACTTGTGAACGAATCAAACTACACCGAAGCCATCAAGCTTTTCAACACCATTCTCCAGCTGCACCCCATGACGTACAAGGCCTACGTTGGGAGGGGGACAGCGTACGCCATGACCAGACAGCTCCTAAAGGCAGAGGCCGATTTTACGCAGGCTCTCACACTTGAACCCAAAGAAGCAGAAATCTGGAAACGCCGTGGTCAGGTACGAGCAGCTCTCGGCAAGGAGAGCCAAGCAATCGAGGACTTGAACCAAGCCCAGTCCATTGCTAAGGACGTGGATGTGGACATACAGAAGGAGGTTGGTCTGATCTATCAAGCAAAAGGTGACAATGTTTCTGCACTCATGCACTTCAAGAGGGCCGAGAAAGTCCTCCTGGGGAAACAGAAGCAAGGAGACCTGGACAAGTCCCAGGGTAAGACCTTGTGGAACGCCATGGGCCTGTGTCAGAACGGCCTGGGGTACTGCATGGACGCCGTGGCTTCCCAGCAGCGGGCACTAGACCTGGATCCAGACTTCCGCGAATCCATCGTGAACATGGCTCAGGCGTACAAGGATTTTGGGAACTTTCGGACGGCAGATGAGCTGTTCACTCGAGCCCTGAAGCTGGAGCCTGGCTGTGTGACCACGCTGAACCTCCACGGCCTATGCCTGTACGGCGCCGGCGAGATCCGCCGCAGCTACGACACCTTCTGTAAGATCCTGGAGATCTCCCCACATAGCGAAGACTGTCTGTTCATGCACGGCATCAGTGCACAAGGCTTGGGGCTGTTCCGCAAAGCCGCGGAGAGCTTCTCCAGGATAAATGGGATGAACCCCTCCCACTGGGCCTACTACACCCGCGAGCTGTCCCTGTTCCAACACCACCACCTGGACATGCCCATGAAAGACTATAACGCAGACATTGAGCTAAACGAGTGTTTCAAGGAAGCGTGGACCAAGAGACTTGACCCAACCCATCTGACCTTTGACTATTGCAAGCAGGCTGACTTCAGTCCAGATATTGCCGATGTGGATCAGAATGCAACTCTTAGTAATGTTGCAAGAGACATTGCAAAGGTTTGAAGCTTTATAACAATGCTTTAGATGTCATTGATGTTTTATATCATGACAGTCACACATAATGTCAGAATTGAAAACCTCTTGGCTTGTTTGATTATTTACATGTATATGCCAGGTAATGGTTTTATATCAAGAAAATCTTCTTGCAATCTCGCGTGCAAGCTAAAATTGGATCGAAATAAGACATGACTGGTTGTGACTGGTTAGTACCACCCAACACGACTGATTGAAGACTGTTCCCCACCCCCAGGTAGCGTTTCCCCTGGGTGACAAGCTACAGTATCACACCCCGGGGTTCCTGGTGAACAGGAAGCAGCACCGCTGGTTTGGCCTGGCCATGCTGGACATGGCGCAGACAGTACGCCGCGTCTGGAGGGTCATGAGGAAACAGGTTTGTTTGTTTGTTTTGCTCAACCAGGCACAATTTTGTAGTTATGTAAATACAATCTGCATAAGACTTAAGTTCGATCCACTCACACACACCATATATACCTACATAGCTCAAAAAAAGCCTAGCTTGTAGAACCTGATTAGGAGGCTACTGAAAAGTGTGTTCCCTCGCCCACAGGACACAGGCGGCAGCATCATCGTGACGGGCCGTGCCAGTAGTGGCTGCCGCACGTCGCACGTATTCGGCTGGCGGGACCTGTTTGACATTGCGGTGAAGTGGCGTCAGGCCTCGGAGCCGAACGACCCAGTGTGGTGGGTGGACCTGCTGAACCAGGAGACCTTTGCTGAGGGTTTTGGTTCCCAGACTCCCATGATCCTCGGACAGTGTCACGTGGTGCGCTACTACCCCTACTGGAAAAAGGCATTCCCCCTGATGAAGGTAAATGGCACATTTTGCACAAAAATTTAAGTGAGAAGAACTTATACACCAGAAAAAGTTGCAGCTTTGTATTATGAATTGCTTGTATTTATGAGCCTAATATACATAGTAACACTTAAACCTCCTTGGTATGAGCTTAGAAACTAGTACTTACAGATTGAAAGTGTTTCCAAATTGCAGGCATGTATTTTTCTATGTTACAAGTTATTTGGAGGCATGGAATGTTCCTGCCTTTGTGGGAACAGTGAATGTTTGTTTGTTAATTGTTGCTCCTGACAACCCCACAGGATCTGATGAAGGACCAGTGTACCCCCTCCCCCGCACAGCTAGAACAGATCAAGGAGGCCAAGACTCCGCACGACCTCTACGTCATCCGCAGTCACGACTTCTACGTGGCCACGCCCTGCCACAGCCAGGCCGTCCCCGGCCGCATCATGGAGGGCACGCGCCTCACCATCCAGAAGAAGACTCGGTACGGCTACACGTGTTCTATCCGCACGCCCGGCACCCCCGCCCGGTGGAAACAGTTCGACCAGGAGATGGGGCATGCCTGGGAGAAACTCTGCGAGGAGGCAGTGGGCCCACAGCCCGACACCAGAACCGTGTTCGAGCTCACCGCCACCCTGGCGTACTACTGGTACAACTTCATGCCCCTGTCCCGCGGCTCAGCGGCCTGCGGACTCCTCTCACTCCACGCCGTGCTGTTGGCCATGGATCTGGAGATCGGGCGGCCCATGCCTGCTGGTTTGCAGGTGGACTGGGAGGCCATCTTCCTGCCCACACCGCGGGACTTCATCAGCATGCTGGATGAGTGGGTGGGCTCCTCTCTGCAGTCCTGTGACCCAAGTCCTCTTCACTCCCTCCCTAATGTGTCAGAAACTTTCTCAACTCTTAGGTCCATTTTGGAAATTCTTAATTATGAAAAAAGTCTAGAATAGTTTCTTCTCTTTACCTTAACTCTGTGTAGGCATACTTTGATTTGGGAAACTTTTGTTGTGGTTTTCTTTGGCAGCAAGAGGGAAATAGAAAATAACGACTTGAAATTTGGTGGACATCAATAGAAGGTTTTGATTATACTGTTATAGTATGTAGTTAATACTAAGAACTTGTGCCCAGAAATGCGAGTTATGCCCCTTGATTCTGCATAAGGCCCCAATCTTTTGATTCAGAGTGCTTGTATGTCAAATTTGGTATGTCTCACTGAACTACGTATCTTGGCTTGAATTTTACTGATACATGTACATGTATATGACAGTGTACAGTCAATTGATTTACTAGTAGTAGTAGTAGTACAATAGATTGGGTACTCTGTGTTCGGGTAATAATATTTTCAATATCAAACTGTAATAATATGTTATACCTTGTATGCTATTATTTCAGGGACTTTCTCTAATATAGCAGAAGCAATCTAAACATTACACATGATACACAGTATCCATAAAATTTCAAATGTTTGCACATGTACATTGTACAGAGGGAAAGATAGAGGCTCCTGGAAAACAATGTGATTCAAAGAAGATGCTTACGTCAAAGCTGTATTGTGTATTTTTGTGGTCATAGTGATCTTTTATTTGCAAAAACAAAAAAAAAACTCTTTTGATTCAGGAAAAAATACAGTAATATGGACTCAACTTTATTGCATATTTTCATGTCTCACTCCACAAACCCAAGATATCCACTGCAGTAAATGTAATGTCTTTTGGGGGCCTATGCCAAATTTTCATAGTATGCAGAGACTTTCTGAACAAGCATTGCTCCAATATCCATATACTAGTACTAATAGTACTAGTATTTCATGGTGGTCATCCTTCACGTCTTGATGTTTTATACTCAACTGGCCATTTAAATTCTTGGTAGAAGTTACTGACATTGCCTTTTTCCAGCACATCAACTTTTCTATATTATGTATTTGAGACAATATTGCTGTTTACAAAAGAATGAATATCTTCACTTAAATTCTTTAACCTATTTTTCAAATGCTTTGAGGCCTAAAATCATGACTTAGCATGGTAATTTATATTTTCAGTTTTTGTTCCTAAGTATGAATCATAAGCATAACTTAACAGGATATTTGTCCATTTACAGTGCTTAGAATACATCAAAATTGGCATGAAAACTTTTACATGATTTCACTCCTTTGAGGATGAGCCTTGTCTTGCCATCAAAGCTTCAGATGACTTCAAAAGGTGAACAATTACTTGGCTTTGCTTTGTATACAGAGAACATCACCTTTATAACAGGTGAACACTTGGCTTTGCTGTGTCACATTTCCATGACTCATTTCAACCAGACAGCTGACTGAATGCTTTTTGGTAAGCACTTTACATGAAACATTTTAAATCTTCATAAAGAAGTACAGTTAGCCAATCCTGGGGAGATTAGTTCATCCTGAAATTTAAAGTGCAAAGTCTACATAAGTAGAGATTAGTTAATCCTGCGCAGTCTACAAAAGTACATAGGTCCCCAGTTGTTGGGCAGACTGGGCAGCACCAGTGCGCCGATCCTGCAGCCTTCTGAAAACGTGAAGGTTTGCTGGAAGAACTGGACAAGGTTAGAGACGTCGGCCACCTCGGTGAGGATGTTGGAGGTCTGGTTGGCATGTTCCATGGCCATGTACACCACACCTTCGTTCTGCATCTGTGACATGGTGCACGTGGAGTACACCACCTCCCCGCCGGGACGCACCGCCGCCAGCGCAGAGCTCAGCAGCTTCACCTGCAGGTCGGGCAGCTCTGTACGCTCGCGCAGCCTGGACACGTGGAAGATGTTCGTCTTCTCATCATGCGTGAGAGAGTGGCGGTCGCTGGTACATGGCACATCCACCAGGACTTTATCGAAAGAGTTTGGGGACATTTTACCCCACCTGCAACCATCAAAACTGGTTACTTTCACTCCCTTCTGGACACTCAGGCCTCGCTGGAGGTACAGACGCAGTACCTGGTTCAGACGTTTGCAGCGACTAGCCTTAGGCTCGTTGGCGATGATCCCTGAAAGTGACACAGATGTGTTGATTATGGCGAGAGTCTTGCCTCCGGGACCAGCACACATGTCCAAAACAATGTCCCCGGGCTTCAGATTAAGAGCCAACACTGGGAGAACGGACGCAGCATCCAGTACGTAGTACGTGAGGATTCCGTCCGGGTCAGGTTTTGCCTGGGGAAACCTGCTTGTGTCTGCCATGCTCAGCAGTCTCAGATTGGTGGGGATGTCGGGAAGACTGACCGGACTGTCTTGTCCACTCACACCACCGGTCAGCCCGGGCTCGCCAGTCACAGGGTTAGGTACATCATCATCATCATCATCATACATGCTTTCCTCTGACCAGGAGTGTTCAACTGTTTTAGTTTCTTCCTGGACAGTAGCAACATGTGCAGCACCTTGCACGCCTCTCTTTGCTCGCCGTACTGGCCTGAGAGCCTGTTGAACATTGGCATCCATGATGTCAACAGCACCGAGAGCTTCCAGGTAAGCACACACGGCCTCGGGAGCGTGGCCGTAGTTGTTGACCAGAGCGGCATGTTTGGGTTCGGACAGGAGAGCCAGACGAATGGAGGACCAGCGCGTTCCAAACTGGCGCTTGTAGTACTGGTCGAACATGTCCAGCGCCACCTGTGAGGCCCAGGTGGGTGGCTTCCTATTCCGGTACATCTGCTTCTTGTAGCGCACCTGGTGCAGAGCCACACGTGTGCACCGCCTGGTCAGCAGGCCCTGGACTGTCTCCATGGCTCCTTTCACACTAATGAGACTTCTGTATCTGTGGGGAAAGAGAAAGACATAAAAGTACTGTCGTCTTCTGCTCCTCTGGTACATCTTACGGCATTTTAGTAAATTACTAGGGAATAAGAGCTTCCTTACCGCCTTGCGTACACAGTCCTTCATAGCCTGGAACTCCTTGGCACAGTCTCCCTTCTTTACATTCTCCTTGGCTGCCACACAGCTGCCATATGCTGCAACCTACCAAACAAGGGCAACACATTTTAAACACATTGAAGTACATGTATCATACTACTGGTAGTATCACTTGTCAAATTTGGTGTTTCCTAAGAGTTAACATTATATTCACATTATAACAGTACAGCTGTGTACCTTTAGGTACAGACCTTTATCTGTAGCTGAACAAATTTGGCCAGTAAGTTAAACATAAATTTGCCATCTGTCTTTTCTGGTAAATGTCTCTTTACTGTATCTGTGAAAATAAAACTGCAGTGAACATTTCACGATTTACAGTAACAGTAAGTGCATATTTTTGCAGTATGGTGTAACATCATATGTGGTCCAAAACTGATTGTTACATTATAACGTTATCCCTACTAGATTCAGCACACATTGCTGTGCTGTGTGACATCACCATTCCTAGCCTGGACGCCAGACTGTTTCCAGGGCCCACGCAGGCCCTTCTGCTCTAGTGTAGGGCCAACATACCCCCAAGGGAAGTATACCACTGCCCCCCTTGAGTTAGACCCTGAGCAACGAGTCTAACTCGAGGTACGTAACGTTAACTAAGTTATGTTTCTTCCCCCGAATGGTGAGGGGTATAACCAACCGGATTTGTATGTCTTTTGTTATAAATGGGTCTGGCATCCAGGCTATCACCAATTTGCCCCCCTCCCCCGAAGGAAATACCTAAGTTAGTAACTTACACAGCACTGCTAAGTAGTCTTCCTCTGTTTCATGTCAATTCATGAAGCAAAGATTCAACTAGACGCTTATAACGTGAGAACGCTTAATATTCCATCCCTACTTCTAGTCATGACCTATATTCGGAACGTTTCAAAACAAGTTTGCACATGCACCCCTCCCCCTTCCCAACCATATAACGTTATAACGTTATAGCAGTACTAGTGAAATGCCGGGCTCACTTGGGGTGAACATTCGCTCATTGCGTAGGAGAACTGCTTAATCCTGCGCCGAATCTGCTGAACATTAGATAAATCCCTCATTCTCCGGAGATACTGGCTCCTCCGCACAGTAAAGTTTGCCCTCAACACATCCGGATCCACGCCATCGATTGTGACACTGTGGAGGCCGCAAAGAAGATTAAGCGACATCTAGCGGTTCTTGAGTTAACAACAGTCCTCTGGCGTTGGAATCGGGGTTCATGTGGCTACAGCAAATTTTATGGATGACACATGGACATTCATACTCGCATTGATTTTCGTCTGATTTGGAAAAAAATCAAGGTTCCCTCCGGAGATTGGTTTTCCTGCATCATGAATATATAATTCGCATCTCCCTTGTCTGGCCACTCTAGTCTAGCGCCACCCCCCACCCCCCCACACACACACATCCCACGTGTACAACACCATGTATTTACATGTGTATAGTGCTGGTATCACGTATCATGACAAATATGGTATCATTGTAAAAGGCAATAAAGTTTCCCATTGATATAAAATAACACGCAAGTGATAGGAGATATGATTGATAAGACTTAAGGCGATTTTTTTGTGTCCAGTGTAGTATAGTGTTAAATTGCCAACGATTCAGTGGACATGGAAATAGTGTCGAAGAAACCCGTTCGACAATGATTTTTCTCTCGTTTTTCTCGTTAACCCGGCCTGCAAATCAAGTCCTAATTGTCCTTCTTTATGTTGACTCCTGATGTATATGTACAGGCACGCGGTTTATAATAACGTTGCGAACACAAATACATACACACAGGTGTATACAGACAGTGACTCACACACACACACACACACACACACACACACACACACACACACACACACACACACACACACACACACACACACACACACACACACACACTTGCACACACGCATACGCACAGTGACACTCACATACACACGCGCACACATGCATGCACGCACGCACGCACATGCATATACACACACATACACACGCGCGCGCGCGCGCGCACACACACACACACATACGCACACACACGGATGACGTTATTCCCAGATGGCCCATGTCACCCCCCGAACACGTCCCGTTATCAGCCGGCGGTAGACGGGCTGTCCGACCTGGCACACGAGGCTCGCGGCCGCCGGGGCCTGCTCCGTCTCACGGTCCTCCCTTCCCTCCACCGAGGCCATATGGGTCGCGCATCTCATTAGCGACTTGCCTGGGGTGCCAGCTAGTGCAAGGGTTCGCCTGGAGTTCACAAGGGCACGGCCGGTCACTGGCGTTACCGTTGTAGACCCGCCATGGCCGCCTGTCACAACTCCGTGCTAACGCGTGCCGTACTGGCTGGATGGCAGCGTCCCAAGTCTGCGGGACAACATCGTCGGTAACAAAAAGATAACTTATCTTTCTCAAGACAACTTGGCGGTACCGCAGAAGGAGATGTGGGGCAGACGGCGCCTACAACCCCACTTTTTCTTTCAAGAAGGCTTTCACGCGTTTTCACTTTCTCCTAAAGTCCTATAACTTATATCATCTGAAGAAAAAACTGCAATCCGGTACAAAAATGCATATTTCAGTATTAGGTCCATCGACTTAGTTTACTGTATATACTAAAGCTTTCCAGTGTCTACGATAATCCCGATGATTTTTAGCGAAAGAAATATAACAAGATTCTAAGGGCCAGTAGTGTAGGCTACATATCCTGCTTATATCGAATAAATTCTAACATGCTACCTGACGTGTAAAAAATTACATTATACAATGCAGTACAATGTATTTTCATATCCTACATCCCCTATCAAAGCACAGTACCAAACCCGCTCATACACACAAGACTTACACATTGAGAGAGTAGCGAAAAGCCGTGGTGTGTACGCGTGTACGCGATATGACGATTTTGGATACACATGTACTTGTATATATATACTGTTTTTTGCCATACACATATTTCTGTCAGAAGATGAGCGAGGGAAGTAAATAAAAACAAAATAGAAACTGATTCTTCCGATGGCAGTAGTCAGCGGGGTAAAATCTTTCGCTTGATATACGGCCCAGTGGAGATTCAGCCCCCCAGTATGAGAGCGATCATCACGAGCGATCATCTCATTCGTCCTAGATCGTCTTTGGTGCACCAAAGTTTGGTGCAATAAAAGTTTCTGCAGGCTGGAACAAAAGCAACTGCTGACAATGACGAGAATATCCTCCAGCGATCGTGCGACGAACGTACGACATCACGGTGACCGCGCCCTAAAACTGATGATAGCTGCTAGCCAGAATGACACTAAAGAACATCGATGTACCAGTTGTACGCTTCGTCGGTCCTCTTTGGGGAGTCTCATATCTTCCTCCCCATGATGATAGTGCTCAACTTTGAAAAAGAACGCAGACCAAACTACGAGTCGGTCCGTCCCCAACACACGCCAAGAGCACAAAAGGTGTTTCTCGTCCCACAGAAAATATTGTATGTACGTCAGATGTTTTTGTTGCACAGAGACAAGTTGCGCTGCACTAGGGCTGAGTTCAAGAGGTAAAAAGTCACGGACGGGGCAAAGCTAAGTCATGTAAGCTGCCAGGCGTCGTTCTTGTTGCCATGTTCCGTGCTCTCAGATCGCTGGGAGGTGATGACGGCCGCGCGTCCGTACATGATCCAGACTGTTGTCAAACATGTGGCACGCCCGGACTCACAAACTCTGCATATTCACGCGTCAAGAAAACTCAACTTTCGCGTCGAGCCGGATACATACGTATATTATACGTCGCACGATCGTTGTACGATCGCAAATCATTCTCGGGATAGTCGTACATGTGTCTTGAAACTGTCCTTCACGGTCGGTTGGCAGTGGTTCTGTCATACTTCTTTACGGCACATCACAATCGTGCGACGACCTGCGACGAATGTGACCGCGGCCTGAGTTAATTTCTCAACTTTCTGTCAGTGCATGTGAACATACATGTAACGGTTACCTGAAATATTACATACATATTGTTTTTACACCAGATAATCTCATTATTTAGTAATGATATAAACCTCCGGAATTGAAGCATATGTGGGTGTGGGCATAGCCGAGTCGGGCGGTTATATGCAAGCTTGTCAGTTAATCTTTGGCGAATCAACAAGTCCAGACAAGTAATATAGTGGAAATGAAACACAGTCCTAGAGCCAGACTCGCCAGCGATGCGGTGTTTTGGAAAGGTGTTATGTTAACGTTCATCACGTTGTTATCAAAACAACAACACCATTCTGTCTATCAATAAAGGTGACAACATGAATAAGATGATAAAGAAACAATGGTCGGGCCGTTTCTTATGTTATTTCCATTGGGAATTGAACATAGAACCAGTGGGCGTTAATAATAGACAGAACATGTGCAGATATAGTTCAAAGGGTAGTTTGATATAACTGTTATCATAATGTTCTTGTTGTTATAACACGCGCAACTGAATCATTCGCTAGACACAAAATAGGACCCGGAATCACGGATAAGATATAAAATCCCCTGTCAAAGTTTGAAAGAAAAATTGGACATGCTCTTACTTTTCCCCTTCCACAAATTACTGTTAATATTTTCGTTGAAATATTGTGAACCTGTGAATATTTTAGTAATAAACCATACATTAATTCATATTTGTGGCGTGTGCGTTTTTATACTTCCATACAGCGCATTGTCAAATCGGTCGGGGAAAAGTATTATTGCATTATGAAATTGGATAAAATTGGATCATCTCGAGTTGTTAGAAAAAACAACATTCTGAACGCTTTCATTTTTTTGGACGATGCGATCAAATAGCCCGACGCCGTAGCGCCGCAGACGGAGTCTTGATTACACCAGATCATCGCCATTATCCCCACAAGTGTAAAACCAACAGGTGAATTAATCGGCGGTTCTGAGCGGAGACGGCCTGGGCGCTTTGATGCCTGATTAGAAAACAATGGTACAAAAATTGCCGTCGTGTGTTTTTGATGGAAACTTGTTGCTTGCGCGTTGCTTTTATGTAATTAGCAACCCTGAGGACCGCGATTGAAAAGGTGGTCCAGCTTCGGTGCTCCAACCAGAGCTGGTGGCGCGTCTCACCCGTACGGACCACATTTGGCGACATTTCCTGAACTTTCTGCCGACGTTTCGTACTCACTCTCCTATAGAGGACATCACGTTCATTACATTTTCGGAAGACACGAGGAGAAGTCGGCAGGCACAAGAGAGGTTACATTTACATATGTAGATTGCCTGTAAACAAGCGAGTGCATTACCCCAGCGTGCAGTCCGTGCATGTGCTAATGCCTGGACTCTCAGATTATGCACAGAGATGGTTTGATGTGCGCAGCTTAGGAGCCCGGCACTTGTAAATCTGACCGTACCGCTGTGAGCACTGCTGCAGGGGAGTATAGTGACCTCTGGTAGTCTGAGAACGGTGCATGACAAGAGACACACCGCCGAGCCGACAGTCCCGCCCGGCCGACCGATCCGCAGGCATGGAGAGCTGCATCCTGATCCCGCCGCAGCTAGCCGTGGGACCGTCTCACGTAGGAGACCAGACCAACTTCCTAGAGATGAGCATCAGCGTCTGGTCGGCACAAACTCTCCGGCCCGGGACCGTCTTCCTGCCCGACCAGGGCAGAGTCGTGCTCGACAGACTGGAGGTCTACACCTATCTTAAAAAGGACGACGTAAGTTACCAACACCCTACATTACCAAACTTTTCATAAAACCTGTCAGATAAAATTCTGGTATATTTATTTTTGGCGAGGAAAGGTTTGCATGTCGCTAATGAGTAAAACCTATGGCGCTATATCAGTTGTTAAGTTTGATATGGTGAGTTTATATCTTCAGAAATAGGCGTCATATCAATCTAAATCTGAAGAATTGCGATTTTGTGTGTATCCACTTTCAGCGTAGTATGGACGTTCCCACGAATGGTATGAGATTTGGCCAATCTCGGTCAGCATACCAGTATATTTTGTGTCGCAATCCATGGGTCTGCATCCAATGTATTCTTACCTAACTTATTTCTTCCCTAATTATACTCCTAGTAAATAATGGTTTATACATGTTCGTTTATTATATGCATGTATTCATTTTCATGTAGTCGTTTTCGCCTGGACCCTCTACATCCACTATACTACACTACATATAAAACGGGGGTCACTTTTAAATGAATTGAACTTAATTTCTACCTCCATGATTTTACGAAGCGGTTTAAGATTTGTTAAAATCGTTAATGCACTTCTAACTAGTTGTACAGCTTGATTTTCCGCAGGCGTTTCATATGAATATCGCGCATATGTTCTCTATTTCGCTTCATGAATTTCACGAAGCTAATAAATTAACGGTGTCATCCTAGAAACATTCTGCATACATATTCATGTCTGTGTTGATACAGTTGCAGATATCAGTAGTTTCCAGAGGATCGGGTTTTGGGGTCTGAAACTATTGGTATAGAAACCAAAGGTGACTTTTCGCAGTTTCAGAAATTTGAAGAGTTAGTCCATGGCTAGTCGAGAGTCCTTAATGGCAAGGAATCGCGAGATTGCCACAAGTCGCTAAGCGAGGACTCATATAGCACGGAATAATTCATAGATCGCACGTCTCTCGCCTCGCGGTACCGTCGTGCGAAGGAGCGGCTTGTCCCAAGGCAAAGGGACGACGTTCGCCTCTGATTTTACATAAGAATTGTCCGAACCTTCTCGCTAAGGGTACAACAAATACCAGATATTCATAGATGTCAGCGCGTGCACCTTGTACCACAAACTAGCAGATGCTGGGTGGGACTTCAAGATTATGAGTCCTTCTTGACTAGTTGCCCCGTTTCCAACAAAATGCACAGGTCTCCAGAATAAGATCACAGTCTTCCCATCCAACCTCTGCTTGGAGAGTACTCAAACAGGAGATCACTTATTTGTGTGAGGTTGAGCACACCGTTAAATCTCCTCCAAGTGTCTCGGGATTAGATTATAAAAGTTGTTGCAAGACTCAGGGTACTACTGAGATAATGGGACTCTTGACGGCGGGGTTGCCATTTTACCAACTTGACCGAGGGTATTTTCAACTCCCGAACTGCCATGAAAGCATTGCCGTTAGCCCTTATTTTCCAGACTGAAAGTGTATCATTTTCTAAATTAGTTTTGTTTTGTTTCATTTTGTTTACTTTAGTTGAGGAAGAAAATCATATGCAGCGTTGTCACATGCTCTTGTTATATAAAAAAAAAACAGAAATCACAGACATATTTAGTTGCTCAAAAACCTTTCAAATTACTATTAGACTCTATAATAAAGAATACCATTGCCAAAAAAAGCGTGAAAAAGTTTTCTCTTTCTTTGGATAGTTTGATTGTATTTGTGTGGATACACTGATACAGAGAACATTATAAGTATCGCCCGCGGTGGCTAGCCGCTTGTGCTTCAGATAGAGAAAACTCACCAGGCAAATTACTACCACTTAAAACAACATAAACAATGCACGGGCGATTACTCTGCAATCAAGCACAACTATTTCCAGATTTGGGACATGAAAAGCCACCAGACACTCTGAGAAACGGTCCTGACTCGCTCCGGGGATGAGACATTTGTAGAGATCAAAGTTTCGGGACAATACCAGGGCCGTGGGTGGGTTTGTTTACCAAGTCATCGCCTTCGTATAGTAAAATCTGAAACCCCTTTTTGCTAAATCCGTCCAGTTAAAATATTCTTCATTTGAAGACTTTGGCGATAATCTTTCAGCACCCCGATCTCCACTGCGTTGTATTTTTAAGTATTCTAAATCGATTATCGGATGGGTAGAAATACGCATGGTAGGTTGACGTTGCCCAACTTAGTGGTATTCACTGAATGCCAATTCGGACGATTTTCTTCTAGAATCAACAATGATATATGTAATCTATCACTTATAGAAAAGTACGATAAATCAATTCCGTACGTCTAGTTATAAGTTGTAGTATAAGTATATATCACACAAGTATATGCAAGTTGCGCGACAAGTCTATGGTGCTATGGGGGTCAAAATATTTAACGTTAGTAAAATGAGGTACTGGAAATATGCGCGAAAGCCTATATCCATAACAGGATTATGCAAACGTCCTGGTCACATATGTCTTGCGATCGTCGTACGATCGCAAAGTGAGGGCATTCCTGGGATAGTCGTGCGTGAGTCCGGGGCAGCCTACTTGTGCACTAACTACATTGTACAGCATCAAAATTGTACGATAAGTAACCTAAGACGAATGTCCAGTAAGGAAAACACAATAACCCATCACGTCTTACTACATACTGGGTCGGAGAATATGAACCAGATGAAGCCTTGATGATGGATTTCAAACAAAGAAATGCGATATTCATAAAGCCACTGTGTGTCTACATTTTCCCAATATCGGAGCAGTCAACTTTATATAAAAGTAAGCTAAGAGAAGAGCGATGGTAGGAGCTAAAACCAAGGAGGTCTCCCTCCACCCTGGTCTACAAATCGTACCGTACAGAACACACGTGCACCTCACGGATCGTGCGGCCAGCTGTTTCTTCTGTTTGTCCTTATTTACAGTGAATAATAACGTGATAATAAAGCCGTCTATCCCGGAAGTTTATTCATGACCAATCCTTGCCCCCCTCCGTCTTCCAGAACCAAATTAGTCCCGCTCGTGTCGTGGGAACTACATGTATTGGCGAGGAGACCTTCAAACAGCAAAAATCTACTAGTAGCACCTTGATTTTAAAAAATTGGATGCTATATTCTTGATAAATAATTGTATTCTAGACCGGAGATAACTTCCTCTTAAGTTTCCAACTTAACCCAACTCCTTCGCTAGTTTCTAATACTGTATGTATATACTTATATTATATATTTTTTTGCTATTTGAGGTTTCATGCACCCGAAAACAGCTGTACGCATTCTGGTACTACCAAGTACCATTCTATACAGACTATAGGTCTTTAATTCTGAAAGCTATCTTTCCAGTCGAACTTTCTGACTACTACCCTCCCGGGCAACGGAATTGAAACCGATGCCGTAAAAACACCCGGTGGGTCCTAATGGGCCTTGGCGGGCTGGCAACTCTTCCAGCACCGTATAGATACCAGCAAGCTTCCGATGGCAGGGTTACGAGGCTAGCCTTGAAGACGTTATTTGGGATGGAATAGTAACTAGAAATTTCGACATTACTCCTGGTTTCTCAGCGCATTCATTGTGATCGTTTCTATGGGTACAGGCGACCTGGTGACTGTACTACTGTATACACCATGGCATACATAGGGTATTTGGGTTAACAAATTTACCAACCCTGTTTGGTCTTCTCTAGAGCTCTCACTTCATACCGGGCTCTATATAGCACAAGGTTTATCAGGTGAAGTTGGCATCAACGTATGAATTCATAAGACATATATAAAACGTTTAGTAGAAACAAAACGCAATTGGTAATTGGAGTAGTAACCGGCATAAAGTCTGTTAGTTTCCACTGGGGTACAACGGCTGACATGTTTTTGTACCTTGCCTTCGCTTTCATTTGATTCGTCAGTTGGAGTCAAAAGTTTCTAATACAATTAACCCAACCAATCAGATCGTCCCAGTGATCACGGAGCCCCGCCCACCCGTTACGTTTCCACCAGCTCGAACCACAGGTGTAATCAATGAGCCAACAAACTTTTCTGTTCGGTAAAAATAACTAGACTACATGCTTTTTTGTTCAGCAGGCATTGCTAAACTGGCTTGGATGGTGGTATTGCTATAGACAGGCAGCCATAAGATATATAGTTGGGGCTCGGTTCGGTGTGTAGTACTACTAGCTAGACCTTTCTCTGTATGACCAGACGGCAGGTGTTAGGGTTAGTCGGTCCGAGTCTATACTCGGCTGCGGAACTGACTAAAGCTCCAACCAGATGTTGGGGTGGAAGATCGTAATGTGTTCTGACCAACACCAGTGGGTAGTCAGGGCACATTGCGATCTTCCACCCAACATGTATGGCTCATGTTCATCCACAAGTCGATTTCTTGTCCTATCAACCTGTCAATCAAACGTCATGATATACACATTCCCCACGTGCCACTGTCGGACCGGCCGCATCCCGGCTTCCTGGACTGTCTGATGGCCGCGTATATTTTACGTTGTACGATAGTCGTACGACCGCAAGCCGAGGGCAGTACTGGAATAGCCGTGTGTCTTGAAAATTTCATCGGCCTTGCTACAGAAAATGCTGCCTTATATCATTGTCGGTGGTTGGCTTCTGTCACAGCCTGTTAGAAGATTGTACGGTCTCATCGTACGGCGAACTAATAATATATGACGAGGCACCGTTGCAGGCTCATATCAGTTTATCGGAGGTTTTGTAGCAGATCTGCTTTGAAATACAAACTATAGCGACACTTGAGTGTTAAATTTTAATCGATTTTGCCCAGCGAGTACTTCCCATTCATGTTTCTATAGACTTCAGAACAAGTGTAAGGAGTCGCGAAATCTAAAATGGCAACATACCTTTACTGCACTTGTCACATTCGCAATAGGCCGCCGTACAATTTTACTTTCAAGCGTGCTGTGACAGAACCAAATACCAAAAATGGTCTTAAGATAGCGTGCAACGATCGCACGACGTATATGATGGGACCCTTAAAGTTTATAACTTGAGGATAGTCAGCGATGCTTCTTAAAACAATAACTCCTGTAACACGGTCTACCTGCCCAGCTCTCAGGTAGACCGTGCTACAGGAATGTACGGGAACACCAGACTTTGGTCGGGCACACGTCGAGCGCGCGACTCGCCAGCCTTCAGGTGACCTTCTCGCGCCCCGTGAACTCTATGAGACTCGCTGAACTTTTCAACCCTTCCCCCAAATTCCTCCCTCCCGTGTACGTCGCTAATGACGGCCGAAGTTTCCCTGTTCTATCAGCTCGCACTCCTGTGACTTGTTAATTTGTTACCCTGAAGGGGCCTTCCCTGCCTAGCCACACGCCAATCAGCCGCCTTTGCGTCTCCCGACGTCGGCTCAGCTCTTGACGGTCGCCATTTGTCTCTGCAGCGGAGAGGTCACGCCTCTCGGTGTACAACTCGTCAGGAAACACTTCGGCACTTACCTTTAAATCAAAACAAATGTTTCCACCCCATCGGGACAACATGTGCCCGATTGTGCTTTAACACCCGAGCTATCGGCCTTCTTTATTTACGAGCAATTGAAGATGACGCTGCCCATGTACAGCCTGTGGCGAGAAAGTGCGCTACAAGGCCAAACATCACCGTCATTAGCTGATACAAACCTTCCCGATGTACGGGAGTACATTGGCTTCTGCCATCACCCATTACAAACCAGTGACTCACATATAGGCGTCAAAATAGCGCACATCGAGCGGGTTTGAATGTCGCTAGCACTCTTGAAATTAGTACTACTAATTTTTTGTGGGGTTTTACGTGTGATGTTCTTCTGAGTTTGACACGTTTGTTTTCTCGTACTACACAGGTACGTCACGAGTTTGGTAATTATGACGACATCCAGGTGGTGGACGACAGGAGGGTGCGACACTGTAACTGGGTGCGCTTCCTCAGGTGAGCTTCTGTCTACCAACTAGACCACGCTACCCTCGACCTTGCGACCAGCCTAGCAACGGGCATATACCAGTTCTTCGGAATAGACCGATCCTCACCGTCCATCGTAATTGACGATGGACGATGGACGAATTGACGTTCAACCAATGATGGCATGGCATTTAGTAGCTCGACCAATGAGAGTGGCCGCGTGTCCGTCAAGTATTTGCATTTTACGTTTTTGACGTGTTGAAAAAAAACACAAGCACACGCACCTGTGAACCTGTGTCTCAGAATTTAAAGAAGGATTTGAAGATAAAAGTAACCATGGTAACCATGGGTTATAGTATATGTTTATGGAACTAACAGTCTATCCATCTACTGGCTTTGTTTTCCACAGGTCAGCAGATAAACAGGACGATGTCAGTTTGGTAGGTTACCGCGAGAAGGACAGAGTCTACTTCAAGGTTGTCAAACTCGTCCCGCCCAACACCGAGCTGCTGGCGTCCTTCCAGCGGGACCGGGAGGCTACCGACCCCGCAGCTGAGGCGGCGGAGAGCCAGCGACTATTCCTGGAGTTCACGGCCCCTCTCTTCGCTGCGCTGCAACAAAGACTGGGCGAGCGAGGTAACGTGAATTATTTCCTTATCTTCCTGTAACTGTACGGAGGTATTATTTATGGCTATTTAGCTGTGTTTGCCTCTGTATGTATATGTTCGTACTGTGACAGCACGTAAAATCTATGGACAAAGCAAGACAGTACATGGGTCGGAGGAATTACCTAACCACAGACCACAAAAAATTATAAGTTAGATCCCAAAAGCTGCATACCGAGGGCCATTAAGATGTTGACCTATATTTTTAGCCATGCGCTGGTGGGAAATGCATAGACGTAAAACAGATAAATTAATAAATCTAAAAAAAATCAAAATAAAAATCATAAATATCATGGGAGTATGAAAAAGCTGGTCAAGACGATGGGACATCTTCAGCTCTTTAACGACAGTTTTGAAGAACATGTGCGAACGGTACCATTTTCATTCCCCAGGCTCTGATCCTCCCACCAAGCGGACCAGCCCAGACTTGTCCCCGGGCGCGCGCGCACAGGCGGCCCGCAGCATCACCCTGGTCACCCCGCCACTGGAGGAGGAAGAGAAGAAGGCCCTGAGTAGCGCGACGGGCCATCTTGGGCACCAGATTGCTCAGGTAAAGGATGATTTCGTAGTGGGAAGAAAGTTTCGGCCAACAGCTTTCAATCTGTTGCGCACAACATAACATCGTTCTAGATCAATGTAAACCGTCTTCATTTCTACATGTAGGAAAGTTGTGTAGTCGTATACCTTGTTGGAAGTTAGAGTTAATTGTCTGAAACATCACCGTTGTTTTTCTCTTTGTCAATACACTAGATCTCTCATTCAGTGAAGTCGGCCCTCCCGCCATTCCGTCCTCAGACCACCCCTACTTCACATCCCCAGACTCCCACTTCACATCCCCAGACTCCCACCTCACATCCCCACACCTCCACCCCGCATCCCCTCACCCGCACTGCACATCCCCTTCCCCCCACCGCACATCCCCTTCCCCCCACCTCACATCCCCCCACCCGGCGGCGGAACGGCGAGAGGACGCTCCTGCCTTGTGATGTGTGCGGTAAGGCGTTCGACAGGCCGTCTCTTCTTAGGAGGCACATGCGGACGCACACAGGTGAGAGAACAATCTTTGCTTCACCCCGTAACAGTCAACACACACACAATTATCAGCTTAACCAACCATAGTATCGCAATTAGCGGTTTCAACCGATCAGAGAGTGGCTGCATGTCCGCCAAATATCTTCATGTTTTTATTTTGTACTTTGACGGGAACTGACGCGCGGGAAATGCTAACACTCCCTTGTCTGGCCACGGCCGCCTTCTTCCGCTCCCCCAGGTGAAAAGCCGCACGCCTGTGACGTGTGTGGTAAGGCCTTCAGTACGTCCTCTTCCCTCAACACACACCGGCGGATACACAGCGGCGAGAAACCGCACGTGTGCCAGGTGTGCGGCAAACGCTTCACAGCTTCATCCAACCTGTACTACCATAGGATGACGCACATGAAGGTATTGTTTATACATAGCAAAATATGTACGTAAGATACAACAGTGAAAAAAGGCAAATGAATAAAGTACGTGTAGCTCCAACTTATAACGTAAAAATGACCAAAATCAAAGACTTCGCTTGATGTTTTGATATCTTCTTGCCATCTTCTTTTCCTCCACGATGCGTAGCGAAGCCATTCATGTCCCAGGTGCTGAAAGGCCTTCGTTGCAATCCGTGGTAATAGACCGACCCTGCATGTCTGTCTCAGTTCAACCAATGATATCACGGCAATTAGTGGTTAGACCAATGAGAGAACGGCTGCATGCATAATATAATTTTGGGGCTATGGGATCGGTCTATGTCGTTCAAAACAAGTTTTAAAAAATGACATCCATTTTACCGAGCTGCATGGTTACCGTCTGTCGTGACCTCCCCACAGGATAAGCCCCACAAGTGCACCATGTGTTCCAAGTCTTTCCCGACCCCTGGCGACCTGAAGAGCCACATGTACGTCCACAACGGCTCCTGGCCGTTCAAATGTGACGTCTGCAACAGGGGCTTCAGCAAGCTGACCAACCTCAAGAACCACATGGTCCTACATTCCGGTAGGCTCTTAGTTCGTCTCATTAAGTTCCTAAAGTCTTTTTCATCGAGTACGGATGTTTTAGGTGGGTGTGCGGAATACACCGGACTCACCACAGCTATCTGTATGTTTGTGTTTGAAGAGGCGAATTTTGGCATCTCTGATTGCCATGTTGTTTTGCATTCCAGGTGAGAGAAGTATGAGTGCCCGCTGTGTAACAAACGGTTTGCCCTGCCCTGTAACCTACGCACCCACCTGAAGACAGTCTGTCACCAGGGACAATGTGAGTAGCCTTCCTTCTCTGCTCTGAGAGAGTTTCAGACATAAGTGAATTACCATGAATTACCAGAAAGCATTGGTTAAAAAAGTGTTTTTTGTTGGTGTCACACACTGGGAAATGACTTGTGTTACTAGTCCGCAAATTCTATTTTTGGTCTGAATGTGGTCAGTGTCCTCTCGATCACTGCCCGATTTTTAGGGATCAGCCAATGCTTGTAGGTCACTGAACTCTGTCCATTGTAATGATAGATTTTCAGGCAAAAAATATGCCTTTTTATTTATTGGCTCTGACAATCAACAAATATGCCAAATGTAGTTAAATGTCCCAGTAATGTTATCAATGTACCAGTGCATCAAATTAAATCCCTACCTCTGAGTTTACTACAGTACTTGAAAAATTTGTTTTATAACTTGCGACTTGGATTACAAATGAAACATGGCCCATTATGACTGCTGACCATGTCTTATGACTGTCCACAGTGCCCCAGCAGCCGTGTGCACGGTGTGGCCAGGTCCTGACACAGGAGGAACTGTCCCGCAACCCCAATGGCATGTGCGGCCCCTGCTGCCTGGCCAAGATGGACCTGTCCAGCCGGGACAGGCCCCACCTTCAGCCGGGGTTCTTCCGTGCCATGGAGATGAAGGTCGAGCACTGATACACCAGGGAAGCAGCAAATGGCAGAGTATGCCATTGGTAATGGTAATCAAGGATCAAGAAAAACAAGAAAAGGGTCTTGGTGTATATATGGCTGCTTTGAAAGTGCAGCCATGGATTCTTGGAGTCAAAAGTTTACAATGATATGGAGGCAGCAATGTGTATATACAATGTGGTCACATTCCTAGTTATTATTGACATCTCATCAACAGTTTTAAGCACAGCTCTGCATCACATGCAGCATTTGCTCAGCAATATTTCACTAAGTGCTGTCAGAATAATAATTTCAGGTCAGCTGTTTGAAAACAATGTGATATTAGATTGCAGCTTAACCTTCTTGTGAACTTTTACGCATGGTTCTTTCATACTCCATTTATTTCATCTAAAAATCATTCAAATCCAAATTGGTCCTATTTGTAAATTGCTTTGCTTAATATCTTCATTTGCCACACTATGCAAATTAATGTGCAATAAGTTGACTTGCAAACTGCAATCTATTTCAAGAGAAAGACAATGTCATTGTCAAACGTGCACTCAACGTCTGTCCAACTGCTGACATTGTCTTGGCCAATTACCATGTGTTGCATTAAGCTACTGTAGTTAATGTGTCATTTCTTAGCTGCAACTGTTGGGCAGACCTGTGGATCCATATGTGCAAGACTTTTATGGATATCTAACCACAAGAGTGAATTTTAAAAATACAACTTACAACTAAACTTGCTGTTGTTTTCTTTTAGTATACATTTCTTCATTGTCTGTTGAAGTCATATTATGCATTATTTATATACAAAAGTAGTTCCATTGAGGAGCAATTTTACAATGACAGGACTTCAAACACCCATTTCCAAGTCTGTTAGAGCTATCTGTTACCCCAAAATCATGACTGTAGCATGTCCAGCACATGAGATATGATAAACAGTTGTTTTCCTTTCCTACAGTTCCTACTACATAACAAGCTTTTTCACCAATACAAGACATAATGGTGATGAAGGGAAATTTTAGCACCTTTTTCGTGGTGTAGTCACAAAGGTCACAAAAGTAGCTGTTAGTAGAAAAATAAATAAGGTTTCCATTGATTAATCAAGGTTTCCATTGATAAATAGTACAATGCAGTCAATGCCTCTCTTCAGAGCTTGAATCCTATTGCCAGTTTCAAACAAATAATATACAGTAGCAAAAGTTTTAATATTTTTCTGACCCTTAATGAATATACTAGTTTACAATAATGCCTTCACAAATATCAAGTCCCAGAGTCAAGAAGTGCGGGACCAGCAAATTTCAACTCCCCCCCCCCACGCCCACCTACAGTAAGTCTGGAGTAGAACCGCCCAGGTAAGTCCTCAGGTCCTGTACTGTAGACCTGATCAGCTTGCACGGAATAGTCGCCTCCCCGAGTCTCTGGAATGCAGCGTAGCGATGACAACCTCCAAACGAGTAGTAATAATTCCCTCCCTGGCTGCCTGTAATCCAGAGGATGTCGATAGGTGGTATGTTTTGTCTCTGGGCTGGATCCTGGGGGAAAACACAAAGAAGATATGATTGTGGACCAAAATTTCTGCTGGTGCCAATATTCCTCTTTACCTCTATGAAAGTCCTATCATGGAACACAGAGGACTTGCAAAATTTCCTCAATACTAGTATGCAATGTTCTTGCTTCTAGGTACAGAAGTACTAGATATTTTATTTGGATGGCCAAGCGGTGGAAGTGAAATACATGTTAACTATATAAACATTCCTAAGGAGCCATTTGACCTAATCCAAGATGTTCAAAAGGACAGGTCTCATGTTTGTGGTGTTAATTATTATTTTGTGGTGAGAGGTAACTGAAAAACAAAACCATTGCAAACATATAATGATTTACCATACATGTATATACAAACTATTACCTAAGCCCTCTTCCTGTGCAGGGTGACAGGTACATCTGCAACAAGTATTGTTACTTCCTGTCTCTGCCCAACTCATATGACCTCATGTCACTGGTCTATCTTTAGACTCTTATGGTCCTGTGGCCTACTGAGAAGGACTTTGTATCCGTTATCATACAACCTGGTGACATTAACAAAATGCAGAGGTCCCTTTTCAATACCCCTTTTCAGTTTGTGTGCGTGAGTCAGAGTCAGTCAACAAGAGGGTATTATGGCAATCAGAAGTGGCAGACTTCACCCCCTTCAATACATTCTCAGTGCTGCTATTCTTATCTGACTGTGTGTGACACAGTCAGATAAGAATTGTACATTGTACTAGCAAGGGCATTTTCAGTGAGCTTTATAGGTCACAAGCCATTAAGCAGGTAATTAACATACTACAGCCACAAACTGCATTCAGACTGACTGGGACATTGTTAGCAATTTGATATTCCATCCTCCCTACAAAAAAAAGAAATCGGAGATTTTAGACCACCAAGTATTGGAGGGTCCCTCATGCAATCCTCAGCTTCCTGACTTCCCCCACGTGGACCTCTTATAGTATACATGTACTTGCAGACTTTAGAGACATTTCCTCTGTCTGACCTTTTGACCTGTAATTCTGTCTGTCAATCTTTCCCTCCTTTATGTGCAGCATCAACCTTCTCTGTGCAAACAGATAAGGTTACACAAACACACAGCTCAGCCACTCAAAACAATACTTCCCTAGCCAAAAGTAGAAATCTAGTTAACCACAAGGAAAGTTAATGGATGGCCTTCTCCTACCTGGATAGCTGCCATGAGGGACTGTAC